CTTCGCCACCCCCAGTGTCCGAGCTGGACCGAGCGGATGCCTGGCTCCTGCGGAAGGCTCACGAGACAGGTCCGTGCAGGGGCTGGGTTCGAGCCAGGAGACAGCGGGGCTCCGCAGCCCAGCGTGGGAACGCGTGTCCGGGCAACTAGGGTGCTGCCGCGGCTGGAAGCAAGGCCCGGGCTTGACAGCGAAGAGGGCTTCCTTGTCCGCGCAGAGGGACGCTGGCTGCAGGGGCGCAGGCTGTGTGCACTGGGCAAGGACTTGTGCGAGAGGGTAGCGGGGTCCGGGCCAGCGGGGTGCAGTAGGGTCGGGGAAGGCAGCCCAGCTAGGAGAAGTGGCCGGCAGAATTGCGCCTGCTGGATGAGAGGGCTTCCCCTAGACAGCCAAGGGTGAGGGATTCCCTGCCTCAGGGATCTGCTGGGGCGGCCGAGGTGACCACTCAGCAGAGTGCAGCTCCCCGCAGATGAGGAAGTTCCGGATTAGAGGAGGGTGCAGCCAATAGGGGCAAGGCTCTCTGCTGATTGGAGGACGAAGTGATCCTCTCTGCAGGGGGCGGAGCCTCGAATTGAGTGGGGCGACAAATAGGAGCGGAAGGTGTCGTGGGGTGGGGGACTTGAATGGGACCAGCCTGTTGGCTCTACCCAGCGACTTGAGATGGGGGAAGTGTGGATGCGGTAGGAGAGGGTGATGTCTGAAGAAGGTGAAGGGAGATGCTGGAGCGAGGCCCCGCTGGGGGAGACTGTCCCAGGGATCTGAGAGGGAAGGGGGCTGGGGGGAACACTGGTGGGGAGGGGCTGGGCAAGATGGTCTCCTAGAACCTTCCCGTCTGGAGATTGAGGGTCTTCACTTTTGGTTCTAGATCGCCCTTTAGGTTCCAGAGGCCATCTTGAATCTTTGGTGCTGCAGAATCTAGGGGCGAGGGGCTCAGGTCAGGTCGGGATGAGATGACTGAGGATGACTGGGTTTGGTGGGGGGCGCTTCCTGGAAGAGGTGGAGATTTGGGGTGGGCTGGCGTCCTAGCTGGACGAGGTGGAAGTGGGACAGGTTGACCGGATGGAGGGGTCTGCGGGGCAGGGCTTGGGCTGATGCTGAGACCTCATCTTCCCTTCAGCCTTCCTATCCTGGTTCCGCAATGGCCTCCTGGCTTCCGGCATCGGGGTCATCTCCTTCATGCAAAGTGACATGGGACGGGAAGCTGCCTATGGTAAGTGCTGATCCCCACTAGGAAGCGAGTGTGCTCTGGGCCTCGTGTGAGTGTGGACCCTGTGAGCGTCGCGCTCCTGCCCAGGACATGGCTATTGGTGTGACTCCACCTCTCACAGATGAGGGCCCTGGGCCCTGGACCCCACCCCCAACGCTTTGAGACCCTGACGGCTTCTGGTGCCAGCAGCCTTGGCACTATCCTGGCCATCCTCGGCCCACGGGTTTGTCCCCTTGCCTTCCTGCCCAGGCTGATGGCCCCTCTGTGAGCGTCGCGCTCCTGCCCAGGACATGGCTATTGGTGTGACTCCACCTCTCACAGATGAGGGCCCTGGGCCCTGGACCCCACCCCCAACGCTTTGAGACCCTGACGGCTTCTGGTGCCAGCAGCCTTGGCACTATCCTGGCCATCCTCGGCCCACGGGTTTGTCCCCTTGCCTTCCTGCCCAGGCTGATGGCCCCTCTCCCTCTCCACAGGCTACAGGCTTC